GAAAGGAAGCTCTGAGAGGACAGGAATACGGCCAGCCAACAACCTACAATACCATCAAAAGAATAGCCATAGAAAAGAAGCTCTGAGAGGACAGGGATACAGCCAGCTATCAACCTACAATACCATCAAAAGACTAGCCATAGAAAGGAAGCTCTAAGAGGACAGGAATACTGCCAGCCACTAACCTACAATACCATCAAAAGACTAGCCATAGAAAGGAAGCTCTGAGAGGACAGGAATACTGCCAGCCAACAACCGACAATACCATCAAAATAATAGCCATAGAAAAGAAGCTCTGAGAAGACAGGGATACAGCCAGCTATCAACCTACAATACCATCAAAAGACTAGCCATATAAAGGAAGCTCTGAGAGGACAGGAATACTGCCAGCCACCAACCTACAATACCATCAAAAGACTAGCCATAGAAAGGAAGCTCTGAGAGGACAGGAATACGGCCAGCCAACAACCTACAATACCATCAAAAGAATAGCCATAGAAAAGAAGCTCTGAGAGGACAGGGATACAGCCAGCTATCAACCTACAATACCATCAAAAGACTAGCCATAGAAAGGAAGCTCTAAGAGGACAGGAATACTGCCAGCCACTAACCTACAATACCATCAAAAGACTAGCCATAGAAAGGAAGCTCTGAGAGGACAGGAATACTGCCAGCCAACAACCGACAATACCATCAAAATAATAGCCATAGAAAAGAAGCTCTGAGAAGACAGGGATACAGCCAGCTATCAACCTACAATACCATCAAAAGACTAGCCATATAAAGGAAGCTCTGAGAGGACAGGAATACTGCCAGCCACCAACCTACAATACCATCAAAAGACTAGCCATAGAAAGGAAGCTCTGAGAGGACAGGAATACGGCCAGCCAACAACCTACAATACCATCAAAAGAATAGCCATAGAAAAGAAGCTCTGAGAGGACAGGGATACAGCCAGCTATCAACCTACAATACCATCAAAAGACTAGCCATAGAAAGGAAGCTCTAAGAGGACAGGAATACTGCCAGCCACTAACCTACAATACCATCAAAAGACTAGCCATAGAAAGGAAGCTCTGAGAGGACAGGAATACTGCCAGCCAACAACCGACAATACCATCAAAATAATAGCCATAGAAAAGAAGCTCTGAGAAGACAGGGATACAGCCAGCTATCAACCTACAATACCATCAAAAGACTAGCCATATAAAGGAAGCTCTGAGAGGACAGGAATACTGCCAGCCAACAACCTACAATACCATCAAATGACTAGCCATAGAAAGGAAGCTCTGAGAGGACAGGAATACTGCCAGCCAACAACCTACAATACCATCAAAAGAATAGCCATAGAAAAGAAGCTCTGAGAGGACAGGGATAGAGCCAGCTATCAACCTACAATACCATCAAAAGACTAGCCATAGAAAGGAACCTCTGAGAGGACAGGAATACTGCCAGCCACCAACCTACAATACCATCAAAAGACTAGCCATAGAAAGGAACTTCTGAGAGGAAAGGAATACTGCCAGCTACCAACCTACAATACCATCAAAAGAATAGACATATAAAGGAAGCTCTGAGGGGACAGGAATACTGCCAGCCACCAACCTACAATACCATCAAAATACTAGCCATAGAAAAGAACTTCTGTGAGGAAAGGAATACTGCCAGCTACCAACTTACAATACCATCAAAATAATAGACATATAAAGGAAGCTCTGAGGGGACAGGAATACTTCCAGCCAATCAATAGATTGCGAAGAAATTAAAACAAAAATAAATTGTGGTCTCTCGGCCAAAATATATATTATAGATGGATTTATTCATTAATTAAAATCAATACCATAATGCATATTAAACACATCGGCATATAAAAAAGGTTAAATTTAATAAATTATAATAACTTCAGCATAAATTACCTCTAATAGGTTATATTTAAGTAAAAAAAAATGAGTTTGCCTAACGCAATTTCATAGAATAAAAATATATATTGAACAAATTTGGAGAAATGTAAAGTGAAATGGAGCCTTCCTAATCAGAGTAATGAGGCAGACGATTCAAATAAATTAGGCATGAGAACTTCCTTAACATTGTCGTCTAATGTTTTATTATTTTAATTACACTTTTTTGGTTGATAAATTGTGGATTGACATGAATTTTTAGTTATTATTTAAGATATATCAGTTATAAATAATATATGCATTTTTTTGATTTCTTTGTTTCCAACAACATTCACGCTAATATTTTTATAGATATTTAAAATATAGAGAAAATGACAAAATAGAATATATATACAACATGAAGTTTCAGAAAGAAGGTATTTATGTTCCAAAAGAAACGAGAAAAATGTTCCTCTTCAAATATATACAAGGTATGTCCCATAAGTTCCCGGACTGGGTCCATAAAAAAATAAATAAATGAAAAATGTAAATGAATTTGACTGTTTATTATAGAAAAAATATCTGGCTACACGGTGGTACCAATATCAAGGCGGTACTTGCGCGCGCGCCAAGGTTATTCTAATTTATTTAAAGGTCACACCTAGCGCTGCGGCGATTTTACGATGGAACAAAAATTGAAGCAGAGGATTTGCATAGAATTTTGTGTGAAACTTCAAATATCAGCAACCGAAACTTTTGAAATGCTTAATAAAGCATTCCCCAATGACGCCCCAAAGAGAACAACTGTTTTTGAATCGCATTCTAGATTTAAAGCTGGCAGAATTTCCATTGAAGATGATCCTCGTCAAGGACGCCCAAAATTTCAAAGGACTGATGAAAATGTGCAAAAAATCACCGATTTGATAAAAGAAAATCCTCGAACCACTTTGCTGGAGCTAGAGCAAGACACAGGCATCTCTAAAACAACGATTGGAAGGATCGTAACCGAAGATTTGAAGCTCAAAAAGACTCCTGCAAAATTCATCCAAAGATTCCTCACCAATGAGCAAAAACTGTGTCGGCTTGCAACCTGTGAGGACATGATGGAAATGACAAGAACGGATCCAGAATGGAAAGACAAGATAATCACAGGCGACGAGACATGGGTCTATGGCTATGACCCTGAAACCAAACCTCAAACTGCCGAGTGGAGAGGTTAGGGTGAGCCAAGACCCAAAAAATCCAGAAACAAGGTGTTGCTGGTCGCTTTTTCGGATAACAAGGGCATTGTTCATCACGAGTATCTTCCTGCAGGCCAAACAGTTATTAAGGAAATGTATTTGGGCATTCTTCGCCGTCTAAGGGAAGCGATTCGAAAAAAAAGGCCAGAAAAATGGACTAATGGTGGCTGGATCCTACACCATGACAATGCTCGCCCTCACACAGCGCACTTGATGACTAGCTTTTTGGCGAAAAACGGGACACAAATCCTACTTCAACCACCCTATTTCCCAGACATCGCACCAAATGACTTTTTCCTGTTCCCCAAACTCAAAGCAGTTCTAAAAGGAAGACATTTTGACACCAGGGAAGACATAATAGAAAAATCGCTGCTGGCATTGAAGAGCATTCCAAAAGAGGCCTATAAAAACTGTTTCGACAATTGGGAGAAACGATGGCGCTGGTGCGTTGAAGCAAGGGGGGGATTACTTTGAAAAGTTTTAATAAAAAAAATTTAAAAAAATCTTACCTTTTTTTTTTTATGGACCCAGTCCGGGAACTTATGGGACATACCTTGTATAAGAAGCCTCTGGCACCAAACATATTTTTGGTCGCAGTGGTACAGCCTGCTACTCGCTGGCGAGAGCGCCAACAGCGCGAAACGCGTTTTGGATGGCTTTTCTTGATTTATCAAAAGATTGGGTTAACCAAATATCAGGGAACAGGCTAAATCAATGTTTAGTTAATTTCTGTTCCACTAGATCGCGCTTTGCCATCTAAAAAAGCACATGTGCTCTTGGTCAGGATATATTAATACTTTCTTTATTTTTAATAAATATTTATATATATTTTGAAAATAGAGAGAGAGAGCAATCCATAAATAGATATTTAATTAAAAAGGTATATATTGGATCCAAATATTAATTGACGTGGCGCTGAGTTTGTTGTTTACATAAATACCTTGTTGTACCTTGATAAAGGTTGGCGTTCAGCCCAAACAAATATAGGTAAATAAATTATATTTTTATTCAATATAAGCCTTTTTAATTGAAGATCGATTTATATATTGCTTTCTCTTTTTCAAAAAAAATTATCTAAAATTCTTGATTTTGAATTATCTAAGAAAATTGTTAAATTGTTAAAATTCGCTTTCTTGAAGAATCGAGTAAACCAAACTCTTACATGTTTAAGACTGCTGGTCTATATAATTTCTCACTTTTCTAATCTATATTTTATAAATTAAAATTTTACTGCCATATTTATAACTTAATGAAGTATTGCAATAGGAGTTCGTACACGTCTCTGAATAAATTATCAGTGAATTATTAAAATTAATTTGCATATATTTGAATATATTATATTTCTTATAATCTATATAATTATAGTATATACTTCTAAATATATTTGAGTCTCAACTCTCAATTCCGAAATTTATATTTTTTCCCTATTCGTTCAGAATTTTCTCTAATTTGTCATCGAATTTGTTGTCAAACAATGAATTTGTCTATACTTATTTTTAGCTAATAAATATTCAAAATTATATATTTCTTCAAGGCTAATTGTACAACTTCTGGGACAATTCCTGTCCCAGATTGGACAATTGGTATTTAGGCAAACTGGAGGGTTCACCACTGATGAGCCAAGCCCTCCCAATATTTTTCAACGCAGTAATTACAGTAGAATTTTATTTTACTTATGTGTGAAAGAAAAATTCGAGCCTTAATGTTTTCATTCGCTATATCGTTATTGCTTTATAAAAGATGCATATTATTTACATTTTGAATTACTATTTAATCTGAGGCTTGACTTCCATAATTTTATAAGTGACAATATCATACGAAAATATGTACAAAGATATTTATTCCGATAGATGGTGATAACCATCAGTGTAATGTTTAGTTATCCCACATTGTATAGTGTCTAAGATATTCGACTTCCATCCAGAAGGCCCGGGTTCGATTCCCGGCGTGGGAATATTTTTCGGGGCTCAAAAATCATCCATTCTAGTTAGCAGGCCCGTAAATAAAGATATTTCCAATGTTTAGTTACATTCTATATAGTAAATATGAAAAAGAAGAATTTGAAAAATTAAGCTACCCTTAGAAATAGCTAACGAACATCCGGTATAATAGCCTACAAAAGCTTTGATCAAGAAGAGAAAGTAATAAGAAAAAAAATACCAAAAGAACATAAAAGAATGCAATAACCCTTGTGGGAATGGGTGGTCATCGAATATCTCTGTCAACAACCCAGTACATCTTTCTGCCAGGCTAGCCCCTTACGCAAATAGCGCTCAAGTTTTATTCCTTCTTCTCTTCGTTTGGTCGATTATTCTGTGGGTAGAATAAATTCTGGAATTCTTCTTTTGTTAATGGACTGGAAAAATTACGATTTTATTGCCGTTTAAAATAGAATAACTTATTTTATTTTTATAAATATAATTTTTGGATGTCTTTTGTAACTAAAAATATTGAAGAACGATATATATTTACTTATATATATATATAATTTGTTATTTCAATAGCGCTTTCAACTTTATTTGCATAGTTAAAAGTTAGAAATGGAATATTAAAAATCAGTGAAGAGTGAATAATTTAGATTTAATTGAGGAGATGAATTTGTTTGTTTCAAATTTAATTCAATATATATATGTAATATTGTTGCAAATGTGATGATCCTTTCGACGTATGGATAAACTGGTAGTCGTGTACGTGAGGCGAGTGTCGATGTTCTTCCCACACGCGGACAACAAGAAGCAGAGGCAGGGCTAGATATTAGCACCGAGAGTGATCGGGGACAGCCCACGGGACAGAGGTAGAGGCCATGAGACAAACTTGGATGCTTATCACCGAGACATGGAGAGAGAGACTGCGTGAGACAGAAGCCGTATGTCGATGGCCACATCCTAGAACATCTGCTGACCCCCTGCCAAAACCTGCCCTGTTTTCAGGGGTCGTCTATAAAGAGTCCCTGGGGGACCCACATGGGCTGGGCGTTGGCTTTTTCCTCCCCTCTGTCCCTGCCACCAGCTGACAGAACACTCTTTGTATCTTTATTTTGACGTTAACATTTTTAGTTTTACATACAAATAGGCGTTTACAGGTATTATTAATGAAGATATAGCATATATACAAAATATGGGGGTGGTTGCAAATAGAAACGGTGTACATTTTAAAAGAAGGGTAGAATCTTTTAAGGTATCGGCTCTAATTGGAAGATATGTGACATATACTAAAGGTGTCATACAGTTTTAAAAATACGATATATATATATAACTGAAATATTGGTAAAATAAATTATATTTTGATCCAATATATGCCTTTTTATTTAAATATATATATTTTTTTATTTTTGATGCATTAGCGCGCCATCTGTTATCAAAAGTGGAAACTATTTTAGACGCGTAAGATTTAAAAAAAAAATAAAAAAGATTCTACTGTCCTTACTGCAATGGAGAAATTAATGCCAGTAAAGGCAGTAAAAATTGTTTAATTTATAAAAGAATCATACGCGTCTAAAATAGTTTCGAATTTTCATATATACGAGGGGTGTCCCATAAGTCCGTGGCCCGACATATAAAGAAAATGACTAATAAAATGATTATGATTTATTCTTCAACATAATCCCCTTTAAGGTCTATACACTTTTTCCAGCGATGTTCTAATGCTTTTATGCCCTCCAAAAAGAACGATGTTTCAAGTGACTCAAAAAATGAGATTATAGCATCAATGACCTCTTCATCTGACCTAAAATGAATGCCAGAAAATGATTTTTTCAAATGAGGAAATAGGTGGAAGTCAGACGGAGCTATATCTGGTGAAAAGGGTGCATGTGGTAAAGGTTCAAAGCCAGAATCATAAATAGCAGCCATGGCTTGCAGCGACCGATGACTCGGAGCATTGTCTTGATGGTAAACAATTTTCCTGGACAACTTTCCTCTTCTCTTTTCTTTAATAGCTTTTCGTAGTTGCTTCACAAGATTTGAATAATAATTGCCAGTGATGGTTTGACCCTTATTCAGAAAGTCTAGAAGAAGTACACCCTCGGAATCCAAAAAGACAGACACCATAACCTTCCCTGCTGATGGAACTGTCTTGGCTTTCTTGGGGGAGGGGAACCGGAGTGTCTCCATTGCATCGATTGTTGCTTGAACTCTGGTGTAAAGTGATGGGCACAAGTCTCATCCATGGTAACAAATCTATTAACAAATTCCTCTGGATTGGCTTCAAATAACGCAAGATTGTCCGAAGATAACTTTCTCCTCACAGCCTTTTGATCGGGTGTCAAAAATTTGGGAAACCAACGGGCAGAAATCTTCCTGAGGCCCAAGTGTTCTCTCATGATCCGATCCACTGTTGTTTTTGGAATACCCAAGGTCTCTTCTATCTGACGAACTGTCATTTTTCTGTCCAACATAACCAAATCATGCATCTTGTCGATGTTTTCTTGAGTGACTCAACAGGTCTTCCTGGTCGATGTTCGTCTTCGGTGCTGATCCTCCCTAATTAAACGCAGCTACCCAATTTTTTACTGTGCTATAGGAAGGAGTATCTTCGCTTAATGTATCCACCATATCCTCATAGATTTCCTTCGGCGACATTCCTTTCTTACAAAGATATTTTATTACAGCACAAATCTCGTTTGTCTCCATTTTAGATGATTCCTGTTTCTTGTCCTCTTTCAGAACCTATAACAAAAAAACGGTTAGTTGTAGAAACTTAAAAATATACATATCTTTATACAAGGCTTTAAGGTATATATGGTAAAATTTATTAGTTTCAAATATTTCGTTCTCATGGTTGGGCCACGGACTTATGGGACACCCCTCGTATAACCAAACAGGACTCTGGTACATTTATATGTGCAAAGGTCTAACTACTTTTCACATGTGTAGACATGTGGTGCACTTACAGTAAAAGCAGTCATCAACTTCTACCCACCATGATTATAATGGCCTGTACCACGTCTACTAGGGATAATAATAATATATTTTTAAAAATCTAATATATAATATGAAAATCATTTGAAATGAATTGGAGGATTCATATGCTTTTAATTTATCACATATATGTCTTATAATACATATTATATGCAAATTTGCCATTCAATTATGTAAAATTTAAAATAAAATAAATGTAAAATAAAATACCAAACGATCGTGACGGCAGAGAAAAGAGGGAATCTAGAGCAAATATTCCATTGAGGGTGGATTAAGTGTAACAAGAAAATGACAGTTGGTGGCACACGAGATAACCAAGTGTGAACAAAATTGACTCTTTCTTCTCAAAAAAAAAAAAAAAAAACAGACGACCTACGACATCAATTACTCTCCACTACCTTAAGTTTTTTCCATGAGGGTAGTTTTAATTAAAATTTCAACTTCAATATAGCAATAACAAAAACAAAGCTTTATTAAGACCACCGGTCTTATACAGATTGATCACAGGAAGAAAGGAAGCATAGATGGAGCTCCTATACTCCAGGCACGCAGCACCCAACAACAGCCTGCAGGTCCGACGTATGTCCAGTGGTCACACATTCCTTCGAAACTTCAATATAGCGGCACGATTCTTTCATTGAAAAAAATGCCAGCTTTCGGGGACCTTAAGATCTTTCTCAGCCCTATATATATTTAAATATAATTCGAATATTTAGGTTAACACACTTGATGAGGAGAAGAGCCTGGGAATTGAAAATTAAACAATTTAAATATAAAAAGCACGTCTATATATTGATGGGAAATATATTAATTGAGAAAATATAAACAATATACATATACTAGTGAATGTGGTCAAGGGTCAAAATAATTTTCCAGGGACAATTTCACAAACAATCGTTAACAACCCACCATGAATTCTAAGGCTTGTTGGCTGTGTATTTGGAATAAGTGACCAGTGAATTGACCAGTGAATGGGGTCAAAAGTCAGAGGTACCTTCAGGGACAACGTCACAAACAATCGCTAACAACCCACCATGATTATTAAGTCCTGTACACTGTGTATTCGGAATAAGTATGGAATCAATAAATATATAAGAAAATGGACTCAAAGATCGAAAGAGCCTACAAAGTCAACGTAACAGTGTTAAACAATCACTAACAACCCACAATGAATACAATGTACACTGTTTATTTGGAATAAGTATGGAATAAAAAAATATACCACAGTGAAGGAGTCAAAGGTCAAAATATAGCCTACAGAGTCAACGTCACAATGTAAAATAATCGCTAACAACCCACCATGAATACTAAGTCCTGTACACTGTGTATTTGGAATAAGTATGGAATCAATAAATACGACACAGTGAATGGGGTCAAAGGTCAGGATTGCCTACAGAGTCAACGTAACAGTGTAAAACAATCGCTAACAACCCACCATGAATACTAAGGCCTGTACTCTGTATATTTGGAATAAGTATGGAATCAATAAATACACCACAGTGAATGGGGTCAAAGGTCATAAAATATTGCCAGGGACAACGTAACAGTGTGAAACAATCACTACCAAACCACAATGAATACAATGTACACTGTTTATTTGGAGTAAGTATGGAATCAATAAATATACCACAGCGAATAGGGTCAAAGGTCAGAATAACCTACAGGGACAAAGTAACAGTGTTAAACAATCTCTAACAACCCACAATGAATACAATGTACACTGTGTATTTGGAATAAGTATGGAATCAATAAATATATCCCAGTGAATGGGTCAAAGGTCAGAATAATCTGACAGGTCAACGTCACATTCAAAGAAAAAAAAAAGGGAGATATCAATAATCAAAGCTGACAAACTCGCTAATCTTCTGCCTTCAAATAAAAAGAAGTTTGTCAGACGAGTAATAGTTAATTAGGTATGGCGGTAACGTGCAGTCAGCATTCCTCAACCAATCAATGGACGATCTATCATCGATTTCCAAAGTGAAGTTTGAACAAAAGAATTCTGTCTTGTAACTTAATGGCCGATATTTCATGG